AGAAACATTTGTGAATATATGGTTAATATGTAACTTTTAATTAATGCATTGCAAATGAAGTTGGAACAATAGCTTTAGATCTCCGATCTATCTTTCCAACGAGATATAATACGCTCCAAACGGATAAAGACACAGCAAGATATGAGTGTCACAAATACTTAGCCTTATATCTATGATTTAGCGTTTTCAGCGAAAATAGAGCACTTTTAGTGTAAATACAGTGTATGTTAGTAATTAGGAAATCATCCCTTGATATTTTGAAACCAGCGCCTGAAGACAAGTTTTAGAACTCGGTAAGATCTTTCTAACGAGATATTAAACGCTTTCAATGGCACAAAATAGAACATGATATGATCGCATCACATTCTACACGAGTTCAGAGTGAAATCAGAAACATTTGTGAATATATCGTTAATCTGTAACTTTTAATTAATGCATTGTTAATGAAATTGGAACGATAGCTTTAGAGCTCCGATCTATCTTTCCAACGAGATATAATACGCTCCAAACGGATAAACACACAGCAAGATATGAGTGTCACAAATACTTAGCCTTATCTCTATGATTTAGCGTTTTCAGCGAAAATAGAGGACTTTTCGCGTAAATACAGTGTATTTTAGTAATTAGGCAATCATCCATTGATATTTTGAAACCAGCGCCTGAAGACAAGTTTTAGAACTCGGTAAGAGCTATTGTTCCAACTTCATTTACAATGCATTAATTAAAAGTTACAGATTAACCATATATTCACAAATGTTTCTAATTTCACCCCGAACTCGTGTAGAATTTGATGCAATCAGATCTTGCTCTATGTTGTGCCGTTGAAAGCGTTTAATATCTCGTTGGAAAGATCTTACCGAGTTCTAAAACTTGTCTTCAGGCGCTGGTTTCAAAATATCAAGGGATGATTGCCTAATTACTAAAATACACTGTATTTACGCTAAAAGTGCTCTATTTTCGCTGAAAACACTAAATCATAGAGATATGGCTAAGTATTCGCGACACTCATAACTTGCTGTGTGTTTATCCGTTTGAATCGTATTAAATCTCGTTGGAAAGATAGATCGGAGCTCTACAGATAATGTTCCAACTTAATTTACAATGCATTATTAAAAGTTACAGATTAACCATATATTCACAAATGTTTCTGATTTCATTCGGAACTCGTGTAGAATTTGATGCGATCATATCTTGCTCTATTTTGTGCCGTTGAAAGCGTTTGATATCTCGTTGGAAAAATATTATCGAGTTCTAAAACATGTCTTCAGGCGCTGGTTTCAAAATATCAAGGGATGATTGCCTAATTATTAAAATACACTGTAATTACGCTAAAAGTGCTCTATTTTCGCTGAAAACGCTAAATCATAGAGATAAGGCTAAGTACTTGTGACACTCATATCTTGCTGTGTGTTTATCCGTTTGGAGCGTATTATATCTCGTTATAAAGATAGATCGGAGCTCTAAAGCTATAGTTCCAACTTCATTTACAATGCATTAATTAAAAGTTACAGATTAACCATATATTCACAAATGTTTCTGATTTCTCTCCGAACTCGTGTAGAATTTGATGAGATCATATCTTGCTATATTTTATGCCCTGGAAAGCGTTTAATATCTCGTTGGAAACATTTTACCGAGTTCTCAAACTTGTCTTCAGGCTCTGGTTTCAAAATATCAAGGGATGATTTCCAAATTACTAAAATACACTGTATTTACGCTAAAAGTGCTCTAGTTTCGCTGAAAACGCTAAATAATAGAGATAAGGCTAATTATTTGTGACACTCATATCTTGCTGTGTGTTTATCCGTTTGGAGCGTATTATATCTCATTGGAAATATAGATCGGAGCTCTAAAGCTATTGTTCCATCTTCATTTACAATGCATTAATTAAAAGTTACAGATTAACCATATATTCACAAATGTTTCTGATTTCACTCCGAATTGTTGTAGAATTTGATGCGATCATATCTTGCTCTATTTTGTGCCGTTGAAAACGTTTAATATGTCGTTGGAAAGATCTTACCGAGTTCTAAAACTTGTCTTCAGGCGCTGGTTTCAAAATATCAAGGGATGATTGCATAATTACTAAAATACACTGTATTTACGCTAAAAGTGCTCTATTTTCGCTGAAAACGCTAAATCATAGAGATGAGGCTAATTATTTGTGACACTCATATCTTGCTGTGTGTTTATCCGTTTGGAGCGTATTATATCTCGTTGGAAAGATAGATCGGAGCTCTAGAGCTATTGTTCCAACTTCATTTACAATGCATTAATTAAAAGTTACAGATTAACCATATATTCATAAATGTTTCTAATTTCACTCCGAACTCGTGTAGAATTTGATGCGATCATATCTTGCTCTATTTTTTGCCATTGAAAGTGATTTCTATCTCGTTGGAAAGATCTTACCGATTTCTAAAACTTGACTTCGGGCGCGGGTTTCAATTTTTTGGATAAAATGTAAGTATATATATCCAGAAAATAGCATAAGTACAATGCATCAAAAAGATCAAAATAACTATCTAAGCTAGCAAGCTAACCTAAAATAGTATAAACCGTATCCTGCCCCCCCCCCGCCAGGCGGGGGAGGGGAGAGAGAGTTTTATGGATAACTAACGGCACGGGACAGGCCCCGGCTCGTATCACAAAAGTCAGTAGCCAAAAAGGACTAGTCTATAAAAGGCCAGCCCATAGCAAACTCCAGCCAAAGGACCACAAAGTTCTAACCAAAAACAGGCCATCCCAGGTCCACAAAGCTGATGCCAAAAGGCTCAGCAGCAAAAACACAGCAGATTGCGGGCCCAAATCCGAAGCCCACATGTCCGCATCCCAGCTGCCGGGCTAGGGTTTGAAGAAAACCTTCGGCCCAACCAACATTACTCCTCCGCGCCGCACAGAAACGAAATTCAAATTACAACTCTCCCACGTGGTGCTACAGTACTCGACAGGACGGCTGGGCAGGCGGCCAATCAAATCCATCCGTCAGACTTCGTTGACTTGCCGGTCACCGTCACCAGCAGAGCTCCGGCCGAAAAGTAGCAGCCCAGAAATCCGTCATGCTCGCTCATGACACCGTAGACCACTCCCCCACCCCACCAGGTTCCGGCATCCATCCCGGCGGCCATGGTGGGAGAACAAAGAAACCAAGCCGGAAAGTAACCAAGCCAAAACGGTGCTCCCCCCTCCACCACCCACCCCCGAAGGACCCCGGCGACCCCCAACGGCATAGGTAGACAGGAAAGGTGGGCGTTTTGACAGTAGCCGGAAATGGGTAGCACCAGGCGTTTCCGATCCCAGCAAGCCGGTGGTCTTCTCCGACGAAGTCCTGGTAACTTTCCAAAAGAAACCTGCCTGAAAATTTCCAAACACCAGAAAAAGAAGACGAAACATAGGAGACCCTGTACTCGCACCAGTCCTCCGAGTCGTCTTCTCCGGTCAGCACAAAAACACAATCAAATCCCCTCGCCGGGAAGGAAAAAATTCCCAAAATCAAACAGAAAAACCATGCGAATACTCCGACGATTCCTGGGACCGTTGACGTATGACCCCATCTTCGAACACCAAGAACAACTCAAACCGGACCCGTTCACCTCCGTCACCGGCCCCCCCCTCTCAGAGCCAATACCCAGCGTTACTAACTGTCCGGTGGTGTGTGTAATATTCTCCGGCAAAGTCGTCGGTCATTGGAGCAGCAGTAGCCAGCCGTTTCAAACATCATCTACCGGTTCAACAAGGAATCCCCACGAAGTTAACACCGTTGATCGCAGACCCCACCATCCAACACTAAGAACAACTCAAAACCGGCCCCGTTCACCTCCGTCACTGCCCCCCCTCTCAGAACAAGTGCCCGGCGTTACTAACTGTCGTCGGTGGTGTGTAGCATTATCCGGTGAGGTCATCAGCCAATGGAGAAACAAAGCTTCAAATCCTCAGTATTCGCCGGCAGGATTCTTCCATCCTTAGTAGAAAAGCTCCCCAGCCTTCAAACCTGGTGGTTCGGCAGTTTCCGGCGAGATCCAAAAATCCTTCAACACAAACCATGATAAAATCAAGGATTTCCCAAGAAATCCAAGACCACCGAAGTGAAAAATCCACAAACTCTCCCACACAAGACCACCGGAGTGGAGTTTCCAAAAGATTCACCAAAGCTCAAGAGGCCCGCCGGAGCCCGGAGGGCCCCGGCGGCGGCGGCCACAGCGGGTGGTGGTGCCGACCCGAGGAAGAAGAATAGCGTGAGGCTAGAGAGAGACTCTCTCAACTTCTTTTTTCAGGCGCTTCAGGCTCATGCTCGGGCGCGGGTTTCAAAATATCAAGGGATGATTGCCTAATTACTAAAATACACTGTATTTACGCTAAAAGTCCTCTATTTTCGCTGAAAACGCTAAATCATAGAGATAAGGCTAAGTATTTGTGACACTCATATCTTGCTGTGCGTTTATCCGTTTGGAGCGTATTATATCTCGTTGGATAGATAGATCGGAGCTCTAAAGCTATTGTTCGAACTTCATTTACAATCCATTAATTAAAAGTTACAGATTAACCATATATTCACAAATGTTTCTGATTTCTCTCCGAACTCATGTAGAATTTGATGCGATCATATCTTGCTCTATTTTGTGCCGTTGAAAGCGTTTAATATCTCGTTGGAAAAATATTATCGAGTTCTAAAACATGTCTTCAGGCGCTGGTTTCAAAATATCAGGAGATGATTGCCTAATTACTAAAATACACTGTATTTACGCTAAACGTGCTCTATTTTCGCTGAAAACGCTAAATCATAGAGATAAGGCTAAGTATTTGTGACACTCATATCCTGTGTGTGTTTATCCGTTTGGAGCTTATTATATCTCGTTGGAAAGATAGATCGGAGCTCTAAAACTATTGTTCCAACTTCATTTACAATACATTAGTTAAAAGTTACATATTAACCATATATTCACAAATGTTTCTGATTTCACTCCGAACTCGTGTAGAATTTGACGCGATCATATCTTGCTCTATTTTTTGCCATTGAAAGTGATTTCTATCTCGTTGGAAAGATCTTACCGATTTCTAAAACTTGACTTCGGGCGCGGGTTTCAAAATATCAAGGGATGATTTCCTAATTACTAAAATACACTGTATTTACGCTAAAAGTCCTCTATTTTCGCTGAAAACGCTAAATCATAGAGATAAGACTAAGTATTTGTGACACTCATATCTTGCTTTGCGTTTATCCGTTTGGAGCGTATTATATCTCGTTGGATAGATAGATCGGAGCTCTAAAGCTATTGTTTGAACTTCATTTACAATCCATTAATTAAAAGTTACAGATTAACCATATATTCACAAATGTTTCTGATTTCTCTCCGAACTCGTGTAGAATTTGATGCGATCATATCTTGCTCTATTTTGTGCCGTTGAAAGCGTTTAATATCTCGTTGGAAAAATATTATCGAGTTCTAAAACATGTCTTCAGGCGCTGGTTTCAAAATATCAGGGGATGATTGCCTAATTACTAAAATACACTGTATTTACGCTAAAAGTGCTCTATTTTCGCTGAAAACGCTAAATCATAGAGATAAGGCTAAGTATTTGTGACACTCATATCTTGCTGTGTGTTTATCCGTTTGGAGCGTATTACATCTCGTTAGAAAGATAGATCAGAGCTCTAAGGCTATTGTTCCAACTTCATTTACAATGCATTAATTAAAAGTTACAGATTAACCATATATTCACAAATGTTTCTGATTTCTCTCCGAACTCGTGTAGAATTTGATGCGATCATATCTTGCTCTATTTTGTGCCGTTGAAAGCGTTTAATATCTCGTTTAATATGAATGGATAATTGCCTAATTACTAAAATACACTGTAGTTACGCTAAAAGTGCTCTATTTTCGCTGAAAACGATAAATAATAGAGATAAGGCTAATTATTTGTGACACTCATATCTTGCTTTGTGTTTATCCGTTTGGAGCGTATTATATCTCATTGGAAATATAGATCGGAGCTCTAAAGCTATTGTTCCAAATTCATTTACAATGCATTAATTAAAAGTTAAAGATTAACCATATATTCACAAATAAATCATAGAGATAAGGCTAAGTATTGGTGAGACTCATATCTTGCTGTGTGTTTATTCGTTTGGAGCGTATTATATCTCGTTGCAAAGATATATCAGAGCTCTAAAGCTATTGTTCCAACCTAATTTACAATGCATTAATTAAAAGTTACAGATTAACCATATATTGACAAATGTTTCTGATTTCACTCCGAACTGGTGTAGAATTTGATGCGATCATATCTTGCTCTATTTTGTGCCGTTGAAAGCGTTTAATATCTCGTTGGAAAAATATTATCGAGTTCTAAAACATGTCTTCAGGCGCTGGTTTCAAAATATCAAGGGATGATTGCCTAATTACTAAAATACACTGTATTTACGCTAAAAGTGCTCTATTTTCGCTGAAAACGCTAAATCATAGAGATAAGGCTAAGTATTTGTGACACTCATATCTTGCTGTGTGTTTATCCGTTTGGAGCGTATTATATCTCGTTAGAAAGATAGATCGGAGATCTAAGGCTATTGTTCCAACTTCATTTACAATGCATTAATTAAAAGTTACAGATTAACCATATATTCACAAATGTTTCTGATTTCACTCCGAGCTCGTGTAGAATTTGATGCGATCATATCTTGCTCTATTTTGTGCCGTTGAAAGCGTTTAATACCTCGTTGGAAAGATCTTACCGAGTTTTAAAACTTTTCTTCAGGCGCTGGTTTCAAAATATAAATGGATGAATGCCTAATTACTAAAATACACTGTGTTTACGCAAAAAGTGCTCTATTTTCGCTGAAAACGATAAATCATAGAGATAAGGCTAAGTATTTGTGACACGCATATCTTGCTGTGTGTTTATACGTTTGGAGCGTATTATATCTCGTTTGAAAGATAGATCGGATCTCTAAAGCTATTGTTCCAACTTTATTTACAATTCATTAATTAAAAGTTACAGATGAGACATATATTCACAAATGTTTATGAGTTCACTCCAAACTCGTGTAGAATTTGATGCGATCATATCTTGCTCTATTTTGTGCCGTTGAAAGCGTTTAATATCTCGTTGGAAACATCTTACCGAGTTCTAAAAATTGTCTTCAGGCGCTGGTTTCAACATATCAAGGGATGATTGCCTATTTACTAAAATACACTGTATTTACGCTAAAAGTGTTCTATTTTCGCTGAAAACGCTAAATCATAGAGATAAGGCTAACTATTTATGAAACTCATATCTTGCTGTGTGTTTATCCGTTTGGAGCGTATTATATCTCGTTGGAAAGATAGATCGGAGCTCTAAAGCTATTGTTCCAACTTCATTTACAATGCATTAATTAAAAGTTACAGATTAACCATATATTCACACATGTTTCTGATTTCTCTCCGAACTCGTGTAGAATTTGATGCGATCATATCTTGTTCTATTTTGTGCCGTTGAAAGCGTTTAATATCTCGTTGGAAACATCTTACCGAGTTCTCAAACTTGTCTTCAGGCGCTGGTTTCAAAATATCAATGGATAATTGCCTAATTACTAAAATACACTGTATTTACGCTAAAAGTGCTCTATTTTCGCTGAAAACGCTAAATAATAGAGATAAGGCTAATTATTTGTGACACTCATATCTTGCTGTGTGTTTATCCGTTTGGAGCGTATTTTATCTCATTGGAAATATAGATCGGAGCTCTAAAGCTATTGTTCCAACTTCATTTACAATGCATTAATTAAAAGTTAAAGATTAACCATATATTCACAAATAAATCATAGAGATAAGGCTATGTATTGGTGACACTCATATCTTGCTGTGTGTTTATTCGTTTTGAGCGTATTATATCTCGTTGGAAAGATAGATCGGAGCTCTAAAGCTATTGTTCCAACCTAATTTACAATGCATTAATTAAAAGTTACAGATTAACCATATATTGACAAATGTTTCTGATTTCACTCCGAACTGGTGTAGAATTTGATGCGATCATATCTTACTCTATTTTGTGCCGTTGAAAGCGTTTAATATCTCGTTGGAAAGATACTATCGAGTTGTAAAACATGTCTTCAGGCTCTGGTTTCAAAATATCAATGGATGATTGCCTAATTACTAAAATACACAGTATTTATGCTAAAAGTGCTCTATTTTCGCTGAAAACGCTAAATCATAGGGATAAGGCTAAGTATTTGTGACACTTATATCTTGCTGTGTGTTTATCCGTTTGGAGCGAATTATATCTCGTTGGAAAGATAGATCGGAGGTCTAAAGCTATTGTTCCAACTTCATTTACAATGCATTAATTAAAAGTTACAGATTAACCTTATATTCACAAATGTTTCTGATTTCACTCCGAACTCGTGTAGAACTTGATGCGATCATATCTTGCTCTATTTTGTGCCGTTGAAAGCGTTTAATATCTCTTTGGAAAAATATTATCGAGTTCTAAAACATGTCTTCAGGCGCTGGTTTCAAAATATCAAGGGATGATTGCCTAATTACTAAAATACACTGTATTTACGCTAAAAGTACTCTATTTTCGCTGAAAACGCTAAATCATAGAGATAAGGCTAAGTATTTGTGACACTCATATCTTGCTGTGTGTTTATCCGTTTGGAGCGTATTATATCTCGTTAGAAAGATAGATCGGAGATCTAAGGCGATTGTTCCAACTTCATTTACAATGCATTAAATAAAAGTTACAGATTAACCATATATTCACAAATGTTTCTGATTTCTCTCCGAACTCGTGTAGAATTTGATGCGATCATATCTTCCTCTATTTTGTGCCGTTGAAAGCGTTTAACATCTTACCGAGTTCCCAAACTTGTCTTCAGGCGCTGGTTTCACAATATCAATGGATAATTGCCTAATTACTAAAATACACTGTATTTACGCTAAAAGTGCTCTATTTTCGCTGAAAACGCTAAATAATAGAGATAAGGCTAATTATTTGTGACACTCATATCTTGCTGTGTGTTTATCCGTTTGGAGCGTATTATATCTCGTTGGAAAGATAGATCGGATCTGTAAAGCTATTGTTCCAACTTTATTTACTATTCATTAATTAAAAGTTACAGATGAAACATATATTCACAAATGTTTCTGAGTTCACTCCGAACTCGTGTACAATTTGATGCGATCATATCTTGCTCTATTTGGTGCCGT